TCTGACATTCAAACAGTCCCTAAAACTCAGGACTGTAGGAGTGCAACTTTTTCAGTTTCCCAATTATTATTTATTATTTCTGCCTAATGGTAGAAAACTTAACCTCATCAATTCTGGTTAATCTTAGTTCAACCTAATGATACCTTCATTGCTGTCAATTTAAAAGAAAATCCCATTTACAGTTGAAACTTCTTTTCAGATTCTTCCTTCAGCCTCTCCTTAGGGTTGCCTCTGTATTCCTAGAGAGAGATTCACACCACAAAAATCGAATTGTGAGTTAATGAGTTGTCTGCTTCTTGGTTCTGTCATTTCATTCTTATCCTGGCTCATCGTTTCCAAATATACCTTCTTCTTCCAGTCCTTTTCTCTGGGAATTCTCTATACAGTGTTCTCCCCAGTAATGGCCTGTCAAATTTCTCCTATTAGAGTTTAGCTTCCTAGTGTTTGTGATCACTCTAAGATGCTCATCTGAGGAGGGGGTTGGCCTATGCCATCTCTTCTGCCGTGGCAAATCCACATCACAGCTATGGGACATAGGGCAGGCCCACCAGAATTTCCATAGAGCTAACTTCTATATTCTTCTTGGGGGACCCATGGGAACTTTGAGATCTTTTGACAAAACACCCAGGAGTTGAAGGAGAAGCTAGGGAGGTCAGGGGGAGTTTCCAGGCCTTTCATGCTCAGACACAACTTGTTGTCATTTCTAGTTCTTTATTTCCATAGCTTTCTGCAAGAGGTGAATTTCTGAAATCTTAGCTAGAAACTGAATCATGATGCCTTGTTATATGTAGTCAGTTCTGTGATCTGAATTGTTATGCACCCCCCATTCATATGTTGAAAACTTAACCCTTCAGATGCTGATATTAGCAAGTGGGGTCTTTGCAGGGGGATTAGGTCATGGGGACAGAGCCTTAATGAATAGGATCAGCGCTGTTATAAAAGACGCCTGAGAGGTACCTGGCTCCCTCTGCCATGGGAGGACACAATGACAAGGTGCCCTCTGTGAACCAGAAAGCATGTGTTCACCAGACAAAAAATCTGCTGGAAATTTTATCTTAGATTCCCCAGGCTCCAGAACTGTGATAAATACATTTTTGTTGTTTATAAGCTACTCAGTTTATAGTATTTTGGTATATCAGCCAGAGTGGACTAAGACTGTCAAATGCTTCAAATTTTAAAGGAAAATCATACTGTGATCCTCTTCCTTGACTACGACTTTTCACTTGTCCCTGGTTATCCCAAGTTTCTTTTCTATGTTCATACTTCCTTTGCTGTCTTCCTGGGTCTAATTTTTTTTCCTTTTCTTTGGGTGGGCAGGTGCTAGTAGTGTTCGAAGTGAAGAAACAGGTCTATGGGCTTTCATTTCCTTTTAGGCTTTTCTTCTCACTGAATCTCAGACTCTCAAACTCTGAAACCAACAATTTGATGTCTTTGTTCCCTGATCCATTTTTGAATAACCCCTTCATGAGTCAAATGGCCACCTTACGTCTTAAAAGTTCACGCTGCGGGGAGGCTGAGATAGGAGGATCACCTGAGCCCAGGAGTCTGAGGTTGCTGTGAGCTAGGCTGACACCATGGCACTCTAGCCCAGGCAACAGAGTGAGACTCTGTCTCAAAAAAAAACAAAAAAAGTTCACCCTGTGGAAGTCTGTCAGGGGTGGAGGGGTTAAATCAAAGATACATATAGAAAACACAGCAGTTAATATGACATATCCTTATTATACCATTGAAGTAGTCTTCATCTGAAGTGTAACAAACTACTATGTAATCATTTATTACGTCTTAGGAAAAACATGACAGATGTGTAGTTTTTAAAAAAATCACTAAGAGAGCTATTTTGTTAATCTTGATATCAATTCTGTTATATTGGGGTATTTCTCAACAGTGCAAAAAAGAGTATAAAATATCTATTGATTTTTTCTTGAATAGATTTTGTGAGAGAATTTTGACTTGGGGTGTTGGGGAAATACAGGCCAGTGCCACAAACCACAGCCAATATATCTCATGTAAGGTGAGCACGTATGTTGTGGTTAAGATCATTGACTCTGACATCAGACTGCCTCTTTTAAAATCTCAGCTCTACTTAATAATTGCATCACTTCTCTGAGTTTCAATTTGCTTATTTGTAAAGTGGATATGATTATAGCATAGTTTGGATCATCAAATGTGACATCTCATGTAAAGCACTTAGCAGAGTGCCTGGTATATTTATTTAGGCCCTAAGAAAATGTTAGGTAACATCATCTTTATGATTTATTCCTACTGAAAATCTCACAGACTAAACAATAAAAGCAAAATTAAATTACTAATAAAAAGAAAGTAGACATGAGTGATTTCTGACAGTCAGTGGATAAATCTCAGGATATGTTATCAACTAATTTCAGATAAGTTTGAGTTGGGGAAGTGAGGAGACAAAAAAGCCTGAATAGGAGCAAAACTTGTAGCAAAGTAGATTCTGTTCTGGCCATAAAATTCGTGGAAAATCCCAAATACATGTAGACCACATAAGGGTCATGGATTAACAATTTTGTTCCCATCTACCTTCGCTGGGAAAAACTAAAACTAAATTTACTGGTTGACTCTGAAGTATTCTGCTATACCTTCGTCAATTGTCTTAACTAAAACAAAATTATAGCCCTGCTTCTCTGTTGCAACTCATTTGAAGGGTCTTTGTTTGTGTTTCCTCGTTTCCTTACGTATGCCTATTTTGAGATTTACAGAAATGAGTGTCTGGTAATTAAAGCAAAGGTTTGATTTTTGTCCTACCACCAATAAGAAGCTAAACCACAAGGTTCCATTAGATATTTCACAGACTATAGATGAATTGACTTTTTAAGGTTTGCATTGTAGTGATGCAAAGACATAGACACAAAAAATTAAAGAGAGAATGACTTCTGTTATTCTGTTTGGAAAATTTGGGACTATCTTAAGTAATGTAGTACTTGTCCATAGAAAAAGGCTCACGTGATTTTGAAGGAGTCGTATGTCTTTGCAATGCAAACTAGAAATTGCCTTTAGTTCAAAGGAAAAAAAGAAACACTCAGATCACTTGATGATTACAACAGTATTCATGACTTGCAGTGCTGACATTCTGTGGATTGATGCAGTCTTCAAGTGTGGAAATACTGAGTCATACAGAAGATGAGACGTTTTAATAATGAAAAAAATATTTATATAGTCAGCAGATTGTCAGTAAAGGTGGTTTAAATTATAAGAGTTATCCAATAGAGACTAGGTCAGGTTGCAAATTATTCTAACCAGAAAGTCATTTGAAAATGAATTAAGTGAACTTAAAGTGAGTTGATGTACCCCAGATCCTTTTATTTCTTTTGCCTCTACCTCTTTTTCCTCTTTTATCTGCCTCCTCCTCTTATTTTGAAATGGGAAAGAAAAACTATTGACTGTGTGTCAAGGGTAATATCAGTACACTTGAGAAAAGAATAAAGATGTAACCAGTTTTTTGGCATTCGGGAAGTGTTGCCTTATCCTGGTACACAAATGCTGTGTAGTACACAATTTGTGACTTACAATTTTATGAGGTTCTTCTATATGTCCTGTTTGTTTTCTCTCTCTTTATGTAATTTGCTTTGTAGCTTGACTTAATGTTTCCATTCAACAACTAATTGTGTCTGGTTAGTAATGACATCCATTATTATATAAAATTCTTTGACAAGTTGAGGGATAAGAAATGTTCTTTTAGTAACAATAAAAACTTAAACCATACTGGCTCATTTAACTATTCAGTTTGTGACATCCAGCCCAAATTTACAACAGTTTAGATCAAGGGTCAAGAAGACAGCCTGAGATCCTTGCGCCCACACAATAGCAATCATGCCACATTTCTACCCACTTGTTTAAAAGGCTTCACTGCACCTTTTGGTATATAGTTCTGAACCACTTAAGAGCAACTTAAGTTGTTTATTCTGCATTTTCACTTTTCCAAACAATTATACAACAGTTACAGAAATAAAGGGAACTGAAAGAAGTGATGGATGTGTTAACTAACTAGACTGTGGTAATCATTTCATAATCTATAAGAACATTAAAGCATCTTGTTACACACCTTAAATATAAACAATTAAATTTGTCAATTATACCTCAATAAAGATAGATAGAAGAACAAAACAAAACCAACCAGATGTAAACTAAAGGTGCCATATGAATTGTCCATATCAGAAATTAGTCAATTAACTGTTTGAGATCCATTTCTATGTTTTCTCTTTGATAAACTTCTTGATTTTACTTTTAATTTGAAATTAACTTTGAGTTAGAATTAATCTATGTTCATATAACTTCCTTTTGTCATTTTTTTTTAAACTTTCTTCTAAATTTTAATTTTTTGCTAGGTAGTATAGATTTTTTAAGCCACATTAAACACTTTCTGGAGGAAGATGGAATAAAAATAAGTAAATTAATAAATAGAATATAGATTTGTGCTAATAGCTATGAACAAACTATATTACAACGGTAGACTCCATTTTAACCAAGTCTAATTGTTCACCATAATTTAGAGCAATCCCACGGTGGAACACATTTCAAAATAACAGAATTTATTCATCATTTAAGTCTAGAAGAATCATTTTGATTGTTGCTGAAAGTATTAATTGAAACACTGCTTAGATGCACCAAAGATTGGTTTTGTCTTTTTTTCTCCCAATATCAGCTCCTTTTGAAAATAAAAGGTTTTCTTTTTTTATTATATTTTATTTACTAATCACTAATACTCCAAGAAAATGAATACCAAAGCAAAGAATTTGTATTGTATAAATAGCCCTGTTCTAGTCTAGCTAGCATTTTTGTCACATACTGTGTTGGTTGGCTTTCTGAAAATCGTGAGTTCAAGTACAGAATTTGCCTAGAGACCAGGTTGTCCTCAGGTCAGACCTTACAGTTGTCTGGGTTATCTTTTTGGTTTCTATCCAATGCATAGCAGGTTGTGCTCATTTTTGAGTGTTATATGTATTAATGTTCTTCATTTTTCCCTTTGTGATCTTTTCTAGGTCTACAGCATCAAGACAAGAGCAAGGAATCACCATGGTACTGAAATACCCAGTACTAGCAAATCAGGTTGCAGCATGAGTCCAAGGGCCCCCTGGGAAAAGATGCTGTCAGGATTTTCCACTCCGCCATGGGACACGGGACACGACAGACACGGAAGGAGAAGAGGAAGCGTCAGGCAGTAAACTTTGGTTTGAGCCTTTTCTTGAGAAAGCAAAGTGCGTTCTGGACATTGAAGAAAAGCATTTTTGTTTGGTTTTTCCCTCATCTGAGCCTTTGCCAGCTGTGCAACTTTTTCTGTTTTCTTGCTTTTATCAATATGTGGTTTTTGTTTCATTTTGATTTTTTTTTAAACCAACCACCTTGTCAGGAAAAGATGAACTACAGATTAAGATGCTCTTACTTTCAGGAACACAGTTTTGTAGCTCTATGTGCATCTATTTTTATAGAAATACAGAATGTTTGGTTTAGCATTGATGGGCTATATTTGAGGGATGTATTTTTTTTTAATATTGTAAAAATTGTTGAGTTCTGTTTAAAGAACTTGCTCTCAGAGAAGCACTGGCAAAAATGTTTAAAATGCTTGTCTTTAAGATGCCTGTGATATGGTCTGTCTGTGCTTTCTAGGTTACCTCAAGTGTTTGATTATTTTCTTCTTTTTACAAAGGTAGATATATACCGTAGCCAAACCAGTGCAGTATTGTTTTTGCCTTGAATCTCAGTAAAGATTTAATTCCATGGTAGCTCAATTAATTTTGAGTATATGTATAGCTTGAAAAGTTTTTTTAATGGCCACACTGAAGAAAGGATATTTTATTACTTTGATTTTCCCCAAAGAGTAAGGTGGAAATTAACTAAGAAGAAATTTGCATAAATTTTCAATCAGATGGAAAGTTTGCCTAGAATATAATAATTTTCTTCCTTATCTGTCCGACTTTAACAAATGAAACCAGAGGTTATATACGACTACTGTGGTTAAATTTAACCACACTACCTATGAGTGCCAGTGACTTATTTTTCTTGTTTCTAATTATTCGTTCATGGCAATTTAAAAAGTCATATTGTAGGTGGATTTTTTTTTTCTTGAGAGAGTTCGAAGGAAGGTACTAGACCCATCATAAAGTTCTGGTTGTTTCTGATAATGTCACCCATCATTATAAACTGAAAAATAATATATTCTATATGTAATATTCTAACCATAGGATTTTGCAAGTCTTTATTTTTTTTGGTTTAAATCTAGTTTTACCTGATTAATTCTTTTTAAGAGAAATTTTTAGGGCAAAATGAAATTTATATTTGGATTTAAATGTATGCCACGATTGTTAAGATGGGGCTAAAAATTGAAAATTTGAGGATTCAATTTGACATGGCTCTCAGGATCAAAATAAAATGAAGTTGGAATTATCATGAAGCCACTGCTAGGAAAACATTAGGATTATGAAAATAGCAGTTATTGATAATTTAAGGACTTTAAAGGCAAGGTCCATTACTTCCTTCAACTGCTTCCAGAGATAAGTCATGTAAAATGTTCATGTAATATAGAAGTTTTCTTAGATAAAGAGTTTTCTCACACTCTCCCATTTTTCTCCCTACCCACATGAAATAGTATGTTCAGTGAAATGCCACTTTCCATTTTGAATTGTGTATATTATGTTTGTGTACATTTTATACATGAACAACACAACATGCTAAGCTAAGCAGAGTTTTCACAGATAATCTTCAAATATTTCCCTTGGCTATATTTTATGCATGAATTTTCTTTCCTGGTGCATCATGTGAATTATAAATCTATACACTTCCTTGTATTCTTATTACTCTGTACTTTGCTTCTTAACTAGACTCTCTTTAACACAGTGTGCACATTTTTACTAATGTAGCATCTGAAATTAAGAAATCTTCCACTCACTAATAATATAAACTTAAATTTCTAGGGATTGGCCTGGTTAAATTGTCTTCAATTTGATTTAATATAATCGTTTTACTTGTAATTTGCCCAAATATGTGGAGCACAGAGTTTAATGATTTTATAAAATTTGTTTTGTCTTGTGTCCTCCTGAGTTTTCAACTACAAGTATTCAGCAGTTCCTATGCAGTGACTCACTGAGGTTTATTTATTTGCCTCATCTTCCCCTGGAACCTATTAACTTCCTTTGCAGTTTATTTCAGAACAGTTTCATACTTGAACTCATTCAGGTCATTCAATTGGATTTTCCCAATTAAGGATAGAAGTAAAGTATTTACTTCTTACTCCTTTTTGTATTCTCCACTGAATTAAATTGAAGACAGAGAACAGATAATTAGATGGCTTCACCCTGAATTTAGACTTTGCTCTGTGACCCTCCTGCTAACAGATAAAACATTTTTTGGCTCTGGGAACTCAAGAAAGGTTGGGAACCTGCATTCTGATTACACGGAAAAGATTTGTTAATGAGCTCTCCCTTTGAAAACAGGACGCAAGTATTGTTGGCACAAGGGCCACACCAAAAGAGTATATCAAAATATAAGCAGAAGGAGAATGAGCATGTCTCTGTAATTGTCTGGCATCCTCTTGCTATGACCATATTACCATATTACCATTACCACCAGAAGTTATAAAAGAGAGTAGGTTGCAATTTAGCATCATATTCTGCATTCAAAGTCTAAAATGCTATCACTCTCTGAATCTGGTTTTCTCACATCAAAATGATGCTGTTGTATTTAAAGGCCTCCAAAGTGCTTTGTTGGGCACCACCTGCCTCCCTGGTTTTATTCAAAACCACTCTATCTTTGACTATTTTACGAGTTAAACTTCATGTAGTTTTCTAAAGATCTGTGAAGTAGACCCTAGAAAATCATCTCATTTACTCTAAATCTAAACTGTGCTTCTACCATTGTACTATCAGAAGCTAAGGAATAGCATGATGTTGACAAGTTAGGATCCAAACAGGTTATTTGGGTCCTTCATTGTTAATTTGAAAAGAGCCTTTAAACTTTTTTGGAAGAAGTATATATTCTTAAGGTTAACCATCCTCTCTTATCTCCTCCTCTAACTTTTCTTCTTTCTCTTCCTCTTAAGACTATTTATATTTTTATGTTAAGTAAAAATGGCCAAGATTGCTCTAAAATTCAGAAAATAAGAACTAGTGGGTTGCAAGTGATCGAGGAATTAATTCTTTTAAATTTATAATACTTAAAAAAAATTCTAGGCACTGGCATAAAAATGCCCTTGAGGAGCTTGTTATTGTTTATGCAAATAATATTTGCCCATTCCTCTTCTAAGACTTGCAGAATATGTGGCAGAATCTAGCTTTTGAGTTTATTATCTGGTTTAATGTTTTGTTACTTAAAGTGGTAATCAGAAACTATATTTCAAGAAACCGCATTCTATCTCTTCCTGAATATCCCTTTGTTTAGCAGTATTTGCTGAATTAAGCCAACAGGGGCAGTGGAATTAAGTGACAGAAAAAGGAAAGTATGTATGTTAGAGATTTGACTAGGGGATTAATAGAGAAGCAGAATGAATTAGTTGAAAAGAGGTTGGATATTAAGCCATTGTCTAAATTCTGGTTTAGCCACAATTTAATGTGTGATTTTGGGTTTCATTTATTTATCTAATGAGTAAAGTGGAATAATACCTAACCAGCCAGCTGTTAAAGTTGAAAAATTATATATATATATTGATTACATATATATAATCAATTATCTGGTTCATATTAGATGTTCAATCAATAACAGCCACCACAAATGTCTATCAGTTGAGTAAGTAGATCATTAAATTGAGCTCCCGATCATCCCTTCTCTTCACTTTACATAACCATTTCTGCACCAACCAAGTAGATATATGACTGCTTTTCTGTCAGAAACTATTGCAAAGAGAATATTTTCCTCCTATTAGGTGTGGGAGATAAAAATCTTAATTTCTTTATTTGCTCTGACTTTTTAACATGTCATTTCTAAAAGAAAAGAAATTAACCTCTTAGTGGTGTGTAGGTCCAACTCTGAGTTTTCTTACACATTGCAAAATTTTATTTATCCAGGGCCTTATCAATTACTGTCTCCAAAATTATGGGGATAGTGTCATTAATCCACCAACGTTTACGTTTTTCAGTTGTATTATGGGTTTTCTTGTCACCTGGAATAAGAATGTTTCTTTTGAAGTTATCCGATTTTTTTTTTTTACTTGCCTTGGAGGAAAAGTTGCAAAATATGGTGGAAAAAATCTTCTGCATGAAAAGGGGGGAAAACAGAACACTTTACGATCTCAGTCAGCAGATTTACTCTACTTGAGAAAAAAAGAAACAATTTTATTGGAAGCAGATGTTGACACTCTGTCAGTTATTGAAGATGTAAAGAGTTCACTCGAACCATTCCAGTTACAAAGGGTATTGATGGCAGTTCGAATTCCTGTGATTGATCACCTTCGAAACGGACAGAAGGACAGCAGAAACTGTGTAAGACCCAAAATGAGATCAGCCTGCCAATTTTAATATACAGGACCCTAAAAACTCAGTATTTTTCTTTTCTCCAGGATAAAAGAACATCTTCCAGAAAAAGTAAGGCTTGTTTGAGAGAGAAATTACAATTTATTCTCAAAAACATTTAAAGACTGAAGAGAGCATTTTAAATCTATTGCAAATATTATTAAAATGGTTTAGAAAAATTAACTAAAATTTTCATCCAAAAATGTATGAAGACAAATATGTAAACTATAAAAAAGTGGATGGCTCTGGTGAGTGGGATATGAGCGGAGTCTGCAAAGAAACCTCATTGTCGATAGCTTCAAAATGTTAATTTCCTTGGTAACTAGGAAATTGGTCACAGAACAGTCTTTTAGAATTTTTCAGTAGGTTTTTTTCTTCTTTTAGTGCTCTCTGGGAATTTCATCCTATATACTTTCCAACCTGTAGAGATAGTCATTCCTGTTAAAATATCTTAATTTTCTGATTTTTTTATTGTCCATTGTGCTTTTTTTTGGTTTGAAAAAATTTTTACAGTTTCAAATCATTGATCAAACTTGTATTCTCTTAAAATTGTGGTCAACTTAATTTGATCTAATAAATTTATCTG